CAAGGCCAAGCAAGGTTATGTCATCTATCGGATTCGAGTGCGCAGAGGTGGCCGCAAACGCCCAGTGCCTAAAGGTGTGCAGACTATGGCAAGCTTGTCCATCATGGTGTAAACCAGCTGAAGTTAGCTAGAAGCCTTCAGTCTGTGGCTGAGGAGCAAGCTGGATGCCACTGTGGGGCCCTAAGAGTCCTGAATTCTTACTGGGTTGGTGAAGATTCCACATACAGATTTTTTGAAGTTATCCTCATTGATCCATTCCATAAAGCTATCAGAAGACATCCTGACACCCAGTGGATCACCAAGCCAGTTCACAAGCACAGGGAGATACGTGGTTTGACATCTGCAGGCTGCAAGAGCCGTGGCCTGGGGAAGGGCCACAGGTTCCACCACACTATTGGTGGTTCTCACCGGGCTGCTTGGAGAAGATGCAACAGTCTCCAGCTCCACCGTTACTGTTAATAAGTAATGTTTGTAAAACTCATGCCTAATAAACAGTTTAGGACAGATATGTCTACTTAAGTGTTCTTTGTCTGTTAAAACAGTAGTTGTCTTCAGATTGTGTCATGAATGCATTGTCAGATTATAAAAGTAAAAGTACAATAATGTTTGAGGACAGTAAGTGAATAGTGTACTTGTTTCTAATGAGGTAAGTGCTTTTGTTTTTGCTTTAAGAATCGTGCTAGGGAGTTACATGTTAATGTTTAAAAATGGCATACTGTGTGGTCTAATAGGTGTAAAATAAATTCTTTAAAAGGGAAAAATAAAAAATAAAAGAAATACTTGTCATGTTTCAGGAATTTTTTTTAAGTAACCAAATATTCTCCTTGTAATATTACTACTATATATTTAAATGTTATAAATGAACAACCTCTATTTTCAAATGAAAGCAAAGTTGATTTTGCTGCTATCATAGATGCATAAATTTTTCTCTTAATTTATTCTCCAGAAGTAAGTAAGGATAAGCTAGTTCACTAAGTGACAACCCAAATAAGGAATGCCTTAATTTTATTACTTTTTTCTGGTTAACTATAAATGCAAACTTTATTATAACAGATTGGAGAAATATGGAATGAAATATATGAAGAAATAAAATTAGAAAAACTAAGACCAGTCACTGCAGATGCAAAAATTTTGGAAGCGATTACAACAGCATCAGAAAATATTGGAAAGATGGTTGTTACTCTGCAGAGTGAGATGATTGAAAGCCAAGCACGCCAAGATGTACAAAATGAACAAAAAGTCTACACAAAAGTAAGCCTCAGATACCAATAAAGGGCAGTATACTCATTTCACTGTGTCAGCTTGTTAACGTTCCCCGTAAGGAATATTTCCCGTACCTGTGAATACTTCAGCACTTGGTTTTCCAAGTTAACAGCTTTAATCATTTGACTTCTTCTATAGGCTTTCATTTTAAAAGGTAAAGAGACAGGAGACACTTTTCACGCTTTAAAATGCCAAACAGCGTTCCTAAATTGTGGTTTATTTAAATATATATTATTGTTGCTGTTAAGTGCCATCAAGTTGGTTCCGACTCACAGCAACCCTCTATATGGTTTCCAAGGAGCGGCTGGTGAGCTTGAACTGCCAACCTCTTGGTTCAACCTCTCAGTGCCGAGAACTGTCATCTCTGCAGTTGTCTTTTTGACCTTGCAGTCCATTGCATTAACCTACAGCACCACACCAGGACTCCGGATTATTATTGTTGGATTATTATTGTTAGGTGTTGTAAAATCGGTTCCAACTCATAGCGCACCTATGTACAAAAGAACAAAATGCTTCCCAGTCTTTGCCCGCCTCTCAATCGTTGTTATGTCCAAGCCCATTGTAACAGACACTGTTCAGTCCATATCATTTCTGTTTTACCAAGTGTAATATCCTTCTCCAGAGCCTGTCCCTCCTGGTAATGTGTCTAAATACATGAGGTGAAGTCTTGCCATCGTGTCCTCTAAGGAGCATTATGACTGTATGTCTTCCAAGACAGATTTATTTGTTCCTCTGGCAATCAGTGGTGCCAGAGTGTTTTCTGTCTCCAATATTCTTTACCAAACACCATTATTCAAATGCACCAGATCTTCTCCACTCTTCCTTATTCATTGCCCAACTTTCACATGCGTATCAGGCATACCTGGCTTGGGTCAGACGAACCTTAGACCTCAAAAATTTCAATCCATCTTTGTTTCCTAGCACTCCTAAAAGGTCTTCTGCAGCAGATTTTAGAGGTATATGTGTAACGAATTCTGTCTGACAATGTATCTCTGTGATTATATGCATAACCTCATTTAGTAATAATTTGACCCACTTCCCTCATTCTGTAATAGGCTTTTATTGGTATGTGCACCATAGGCATGTTCATAAACTTCATTCTTGCCTTCGTACCAAGACACTTACTCTGAACCTTCTGGACATTACCGAGATGAACTGGCCTTTAACTTCAGCTGATCAGCAAAAGCCTTCTGATGTATACAGGTGGCACGCACACTAAATGCATCAGAAGTTTTTGAACAAATGGGTTAAGTGACTAGTTAAATTAACTTGTCCACTGATATGAAGATGATATCAATCCTGCTCTTCTACTCATTGGTCCTTTATGATTAAAGTAAATTATTTAAAATCCTTTAAAGTGATTTCCAAACTGATTTCTAATGCCTGAGATGTCTACATAGACTGTTAAGTCTTTATTTCCTTAGCCTAGTAGGAATGCTATCTTCATCCACCTTTGAATTCTACTCCACCTTAGATACCTGGTTGTTCGAAAGTTTTTATTGCATGGATGCAACAATTTCAACTCATTTATTCTTTTTTAAATAGGCTGCCTTGTTAATTCTATCAAATTGGCAACAAGTTATTAATAATTTGTTATCATGGCTCTAATCCCATTTATTCTATTTTTTTTTTTTTTTTTTTTTAGCAGTTGTTTTACTTGTGTGCTCTTAGGTTCATAATTTAGGCTTAACAGAATATTGTAACCAACAGCATATGT